AAGGAGGATTACCAAACCACGTCACAAAGAGCCTGGCACCCAGCTCATCCTGGGGAAACTGTACTGCAGGGTAATAGCCTTCATCCTGCTCCCTTCCTTCCAAGTGGAGATCAGAGACCCAGAGATGGCTGCTGTGAGCTGTACATTTCCTGACCTTTTTCCTTTTCAAGCCACCAGGCCTTCAAGGCTCAGCAAGCTTTGAGCCTTGAAGGGGCTGCTGGCCCCAACCCCCTTTGCTGCCACGTGGCTGTGGTGGCATCAGCTTTCTTCCCTTCCCAGCCAACCAGTGGAGACCTGCTCAGCAGCTGCACCTTGAAAGATAAGAGAGGCAGCATTGCCAGAGCCAGGAAAACACAACCACACAGGTAGAAGAAAGGTTAAGAAAAGCAAGGGGCTTGGACACTGTATGCAGCACACAGGCACTGCCATTGCCTGCTGTTTGGCTTTGCCCTGGCTCTTTGCAGAGCTGGAGACTGGTGAAGGGAATCTTCACCATTCTTGTGATACACCACAAGCTCATTTTTTCTCCCATGCCCACACCACTTGGACTGCATTTCCTCTTCAGCATTTCTTGTTAGCCCAATTCCAAACTCCCTTTTATTCTTGGGATCCTGTATGTGATGCCACAATAAAGACAGTGCCCTCAAGAAGTGGGATATGATGTTTTCTTTCAAGGTGACTGGGGCACTGAGAAGACTCTTCAGATCATGCCCATTTTGCCAGGAAGCAGTTAAGTGCAGAGAGAATGGGAACAATAGAAGAGAGTGTTCATTTTGTGCAAAAGCACACAAAAGTGAGACCAAAACTTTCCTAGACTTACCTTGGAATTGTCGAAGTCTGAATTTGGCTCTCACACGACCCAAGCTATTTGAAATGCTGCAAACAGCTCCTGAAAAGGGTTAAAGCCAGGATGGACAATTATCAGGTCATTTGCCTGAGTTTCAGGAGAAAATGGTTGTCTTGGCAGGGGGCCAATCGAGAAAGGCAGAGCTCACCATTTTTGAGGGTAATACCATTGCCAGTAGGTCACGAGTAATCTGGAAAGGCTTCTGCTGAAAGCTGACAACAGAGCAGCATCCAGCCTGCAGTCTGTCATGGAGCCCTTGTGTCTGTGCTGAGGGAGTGGACTGTGACTCCTCACAGATGTCCAATTTCTTCTGCAGTGGAGGAAGAAAGTAGTTCCACCCTGTCCCATGCCCCGAGACTTTTGTATGACCATATCTTCTGAGAACCTGGAATACTGTTTTCCTTTAGTTTACTAGTGATGGTTGGTCTATGCCTGTAGCCTGACTGCATGATGACATGAATCATTTGATTTGGACCATAATGCAACACCATCTCTTGCCAGGGATAAAATTTGATCATATTTGATGCCACATGATGTTGTTCTCATTCATTGCCCCACAGACCGCAAAAGCATCCTTCCCCATAAGTAAGGAGGATGAAAGGACATCTCTCCTCATACTAACTTGCTTTCGGTATCTTGTCTTGCATCACTCTGTGCCAACGACGTGCAGCTCTAGATCAGGTTTGCAGGCACTCTCCTAAAGGAGAGTCTCTGAGTCTTAGGTCCCAAGCACAAAAACATAATGGAGAGATACTAAGGCTCCTGCCAGGTTCCTTCCTTTGAAGGAAAAAGTACTAATGTGTCCTGCTCTTTGATGGCATTTCAGTAAGACAGGTCCATGGAAACAAGTGCTGCACCAGCATAACTGTATAGATACCTATTGACTGCAAGGTATGAACTGGACCGGAAACCACGGTGCAGAAAACAAATAGCCAGAAGCCATCCCACCACCCCAAACCCCGCTTCCTTACATGGCTTTCAAGCCATGGGGTTATGGCCTGAGCTAGGTGGAGTTTGCTGATCAGCGTGCATGTTACAGACCAGGCTGGGGCACAGCAAGAGGCAGAAGAGCCTTGGGAGAGATATCAGCCAGCCTGTTCGGTTTCACAAGCTTTAAAATTTTGGGATCACTATACACAATTCTTGTATATGTTCCATTGGCCTGCTCAAAAGTCTTGTGACTCTTGTATGTACATTCTGTCCTAAAGCACAGAACAGAGGCATTCAATTTAATATGCTGCTCAGGTGACTGAAGTACCAGCATTTTACAAAATAGCTTATTCAGGAACAAATTATGTATATATCACTGCTCTCTGCAATAAATGTGGGAAGTTTTATAGTGCATTTGATAAAAAACTTGTCTTTGGGGTTTTTTTTTAAGATCACTTAACCAAAATGTTATGTTCGTGATTGCTTTCTACAATACACAATGCAAACAGAAAAGAAATATGGGGGAAATTACATCGCCAGTAGGAAAAAAATTAATAAATAAAATGTGCTGGAAGTAAAACAGATGGTTGGCACCTGGTGGTCCTTCATAGCCCTGGGAGACAGTTAAGCTCTTCCTACACTTGGAGAAGGAAAAAAGGGAAGTGAAACATGTCTGTATTACTGTTGCATGTGCTGTTCTCGGGCTCTCAACACTGTAGGGTCTGGGGTTACTAGATGTGCCTAAACTGAAGGTTAGTCCTAGCTCCTCAGCTGTCCACATCCCCCAACGCTGCTCTTTTCCCACAGCCTGGAGGATGTGCATGTAGACCATATCAACACCACGCAGACCTAGGAATCAGGAGCTCTGAGCACAGCAGGGCACTTCCCACCTCCCAAGCAAAGCCAGAGCACAACAGCAGCTTCTACTGCTCTGTTGCAGTCAGCTTCTCAGGAGAGCTGAGAAGCAGAAAGCAGTGTGGTCACTCCATGTCACTCCATGCCCCCCCCGCTTCTGAAACTCCCAAATGTGGATCTAGGCAAGGCACTGCATTATGTGTTACTGTCTAAGCAATGGGACACCCCCTGCACAGAGGCTCCTGGGCACAGATGTTTGTGACCTCTCCAAACAACTGCGCTGCAATGCTGTCTATAGTGGTCTACATCTCTGTAACCCTTTCTGGCCATACAGAGTCTTAAAAATAAGATGTCAGATTTGTCAGTCATCTACAATTCATCTTTCTCAGAAAGCTATTGAGTATGACAGTAAACACTCACCTTCAGCTGAACTCATTCCGAAAAATTACCTGAAGGCAAATTGTTGAAAAACAGACAGGCTGTTTCAAATAGGAACAGTGAGACCAGTGCCTGTGCTGATTTGCCTTAGGTTTGGATACAAGGTCACACAATAGGAGAAAAGAGAAAAAGAATCAGCATATGCTGTATAATGGCATAATTTTAATAACAAAAATTGCTAATTTTCATCTAATTTTCGCAGAGATTCAGTCAGCCAACCCGGCACTAACCTCCTCCCTCCGAAGTTTTCCTTAGCTTGCACTGGTACTTGGTGGTGTGTATACAACATACGGGAAGTTAACTTCTCTGGTCATCTCCCAAGGAAATGCTGCACTGAGCAAAGCAAGGGAAGCATAGGAGCCAACACCACTTTTCTCATCAGTGCTGGCCTGGAAAACTGCCTGGTTCCAATCAATCTGCAAAAAGGTTGTGTCCACGCCCACAAACCTCCTGCAGCAAAGGGGAAAGACTGGTCCAGATTAAGGAGTGATGCAAAGAGACTTTATGTGGAACTCATGCCAGAAGCAAGACCTTCCATGTAATTTGGAATTATGAGGCACTACCATGAAAAAGCACAACCACTGGTACAGAAGTGGCTCTTCTCATGTGTTATGTGCATAATGAGTGCAATTCTAGTATATTTTGCAATGGCTCTACTCCTTCTCAAATCCATGAACAACAACAGTATTGAAAATTCATCACCTTTGACATCTAGTGCTGTTTTTTCAGCATACAAAATGTCACTAGATGGATTACATGTCAGATTTTGGAAGGTCATTTGCAACATCCCATTTCAGGAGCATCCACCATTTACTTATTTATTGAGTACTCAGCACTTAGTCAAATTGTTTTCATGTTACCATAGAACAATGAGCTCCTCTGGCCACAATTCTGCAAGTTAAGACTGCAAACATTATGAATAAGTGCTATAAGCTGACTTATCATGTTTGTAGTAGCATTCCTATGACACTCAAGAAAGATTTTTATCAAGTCTGTGCCGTATGTTTTTAGCAGCTTATCAGAGCCACCAGCCCAAAAGCATCCTCAAACAGACGTGACAAAACAATGTTGCTATTTTTATAGTTCATGTACTTAAGTGCAAGAACTGCATAAATGACTTATAACCCTTTCAATACTACAGCAATCCATCAATTTACCACATCTTATAACACCATGCTGGAAATTCTCCCTCCTAGATCTGCAAGTGTCCTTGAAACACTCGGCCACTGAGCATCTATCTACTGTTTCTTGACATGAACTTTCAATATTTAACAGAATTTACAAACTCACAGAAAAGTTCCCATCAGGGTGCCTTTAAAGTGAAGCACTTGGAAGCAGGTATGTGTAAGATGTTAGCAAAGCATCAAAATTTAAAAAGTGAATTTCCTCTTTAATCTGTTTCAAAAGGACTAATCCTACTTCAGAGCCCAGCTATTTTAGGTTGTATACTTGAAAATTCTACAGGTTCAGGAATGGAAAGAGTACTCCAGAAACACCATGAAAACTACTTCATTTACAGTAAAAGTGCTTAAGAAATCTATTTATTTGGGGTTAATAATGTCAGAGAGGATGCACATGATCTCACTTGCCATCTCTATTTCATTCTCTGTTTAAGAAAGAAAAATATCCACTGCAATTCTAGACTCTTTCCTCTCTCAATAAAGAAGGATAGGATTGTCTAGAATTTGATTTATTTTTCAATTCCAAAACAATAAATAATTAACATTAGTGACTGGAAAAACTAAATAACTACAGATACATGACTTTGGAAATAACTTCTCTCCAGAGTATTTGACAGTGTTCTGAGTATCAGCATTTTGTTCAAATAAGAAGCTCTTAATTATAGTTTTAATTGACTATTGATACTTAACTACATGTGTTTTCAGGGAAAACATTCTGTATGAATAATTATACGCTACATTAAAAAAACTTCAGTAATTTCTGTTTCCATTGTGCAGTTTATTCAGTTTCAGATTAGAAAAAAATTACTATGTTTTTGACAATTTGCATGCATAAACTCAAACATTTCAGCCCAAAAAAGTACTGATTTCTTCCAGGCTTGTATTAAGGCGTTCAGGAATTTCACCAAGGCAGACAAATATCTTGATTTAAAAACAAAAAACAATCAAAATAGAGAGACAAGCTACAATTCAGATTTACTTCTGTTAACAAATACAACCACAGTGAGTCCTGGTAGTACACAGTTGCATTCTTTCTCTTTTCAGTTGTGTACAGCTGAGAGGAGTCAAAGTTACTGAGGAAGAGTTATCTTCAGCCAAAGTTTTCTTCAACAGTGTCTTGATTTAGAGTGCTGAATAAGCCATTGTAATGTTATGTCTGCCAGGACAGATGAAACAAAATGAAAAACTCAACAGCCTGTTTGCAGAGTGTAGAAGCACTACAGAACATCAGCAGGTTAATACGAATACAAAAACCCCAACCAAACAAAACCTAGAAACCACAGGCTCTCATTTATACATAATTAAAGCTCAGCACTTAAACCTCTAGATGGGCTTTTTCTTAGTTTTCTAAATGTTTTTAAATTATGTGCATTTTGTATTCTTGAAATATGATGACTGACATCCAGTTCTCTAAGCCACAGATGAGGGACTGTTGAAAAAGCAAAGATTTAAGATGACCATAAAATGAACTGTAAAATCCAGACTAGAATGAAATGCAATGTGAGAACAAAGGCAGAAATACACAAACAGAAGGAATGAGAAGGGCAAACGTGACAATATATTAAACACAATATATTAGAAAGCTATTTAGGTAGGTTGTTGGACTCCAAGGTCTCTGAAAGACGTGCAACACTGGACTAAAATTTGATAGCTGAAATTGGCACCCCTCCTGATGCAATCTAATGCATTGGGCTGAAATCTGCAGCAGTTCACAAACTGATTCATGAGTAGATTAGATGTTTTTGCCTCAAGGCAGTAACATCTGTCAGGAAGGATGTCAGGGGGCAGCAACAGCTCTAGCCCTCAAATTGAAATTTGTTGCCATATATGTACTTAGTTGAAGACAGCACTCCATGAATATCCTTGCAGAACAGCTTAGACACCGTGACTGCAAACAAAAGCATCCCACAGCATCTAAAGCAAAGCTAATAACTATATAATAATCCTCCACAGTCTCTCAGGACACAGAAACTGGCAGCCTTACACCTACACCTCCTGATGAGACCAGTTAGGTAGGTTGCAGTGTGCACTGAAAAACAAGTATCATCTCATTCAACTGCACTGACATTAATCAAAAATGCATAGGAAGAAGACAGCTCCCAGTCTTCTCCTTAACAGACTAGTAGTTTCATCACTTTAATAAGCTAAATATATTTTCATTATAGTCTTTCATTATAAATGATACTTTCCAGCCCTTTAATCTCCCTAGGTTCTTGTTCAATCTCTTTTCAGTTTCTCAAGGGCTTCCTCAAAATACGTCACAGACTGCTCCAGCAATGCCCACACAGTTCCAAACACAAATGATATACACAGTCTGCTCCCATTTATTACTTCTTTGGGCAAATATTCAGGAACCAGGCTAGTGTTTCTAGGCATAATGTTACACTGGAAGGTGCTTGACCGATTCTCAGTTAGGATTTGAGTCTTTTTCATCACTACTCCCAGAACTTCCACAAGTAAGTGATCTACACAGTTCTGCATTCGTGATCGTTCTTTTCATTATTTCCTTGTTTGCAAATTTTAGCATCCTTTTTTTTGCATGTTTTTCTCCTCCAGGACATCCATATAAATGAACCAGGATCAAAACCTATTTTCTCCAGGACTCATTCAGAATTTAAGCTGGTTTTGCCAGTTTCCAGTCACAATACCACTTCTCAGAACCTTCTCTGCAGTCTTGCCAATTTGATGAGGATCAAGCACAGCATTTCAAAAACCTCAACCATCTTCACTGTCTTTCACCTATTGATATTATCCTGTGTTGTCTTCCGCAGTCCTTATAGCCTGAAGCCTAATCTTCCCCAGTGTAAAAGTATGTATTTCCCCTTGCTCTGAGATAACAGTTGCATCCCAAGCTGCAGCAGACCTGGGGCTGGTCTCCTTCAAACTAACACATCCCAATCACATACACCACTTCCAGGAGAAGCCCTCACTCCCTAACACGTCTCTGCACAGAGCTGAAATCTTCCACAGTTCACTGAACCAAGGTATAATGGCATAGTCTTCTCACCATCTCCACTACCTGGTTCTCTCTGTGTAAGATGGAAATTTCCCCTGCTGCTGAGAGAAACTGGCTTTCCTCCCACTCCTACTCTCACAATCTCTCATTCAGCTGAGCCCTACAGAGCTGCCCAGCTCTTCTAGCAAGTCTGGCTTCCCCAAGTAGCAGCTATAAATATGAACCCAGGCTGCATCCCTCCCATTCAGCACCACTTGTTTTAGCAACATGCAGAGAAGGAGGGTGGCACAGAGGCAGCGCTGCTCCCAGGCAACTGCTGCTGCTGGCTCAGTCTGTGCTTCATTCCCTTCTCCTGCCCTGTGGAGGGAAGGGAACAGGAAAGTGGAAGATAGGAGAGACAGGAAAATGCAAAAACCAAAGGCAAATGGAGGACAAATTCATGGGGCTTTTATAGGTCCTCACTACAGGATACATCCTTTTCACCTCCAATGGGACAAAAGCACTACGCCCTCAGTTCGACAAACACCACCATAGAGCCACATGCATGTAAAACCTGCTTACCAAGTAAAATCTTGTATGGAGTAAAATACGTAATTTTTTTTAGGGTCACCTAATAATTGCAAGGTCTTTGTACGCAGCCACTGTTTTTTCAAAAGTAATGTAGATTTCTTGTAAAGGATTCAATTACTATGGCCTTTAAATATGCTTTTCCAAGGTCCCTGTCAAATTAACTTCTCATGGAACTAGATAATTCTACAAATTACTTTTAAATTACACATAATTCTAGGTTGAAACAAATACAGTTGTATACAGTATTTGCAGAATATCTTTCAGTGTAAAATGATATTAAAGGTAGATGTTCAGATCTCATCAACATTTTTAAGATTTGATCCAGAGTACAAAGCATATATTGATGATGCTGGAAAAACCTTACCAATGTTATCCTTCTCTTTACAGGAAATAGAATAGCAACAGATTTCTCTGTCTTGAATAGCTGAAAGGTTTCTACAGAAACAAAAATAATAAGTACTGTTATAATGCCACAAACTGACAACAAATTTCCATTAAATGTAAGTTTTCTGCATTTTACTCAGTGGGTTCAGTTTTGTTCTCAGATGTTAAACTCTTAAAATATGCCACACAGAAAACCACACATTTCTTAAAACTATAAAGACTAAAAGGTTATAAAGTCATTTCACAAAAATTCAAATCTCTCATTAAGTCACTGTAATAGTGCGTAATAAAAACACAGAAATCCATGAGCTAAAAATAACATTTTGTAGTGGTAACCAAGTATTATCCATGTCTTATCATTCACCTTTTACTCTTTTCACTTAGAATTCAGAGTTCTTATCTCCAGTAACTCATAATCAAGTAACAGTACTCAACTGATTACACCATTTATCTTCAGGATGTTTACTATATCATACTTAATATATCAGATCTGATTCCTATTGAAAGGATGCCTCTACATTCAGGAAGAAACTGATTTCTTAATTAACTTCTTTCTGGGAATTTCCCCTCTCAGAGTTTCTGAGCACTTTGTTATTTTTTCATTTATTTATCCTCACACAAGCGACACATATGCATAAAAAAGACTATGCCCCTGAAGCAGATAGGGAGTGGAGGCACTGAGAAGGAAAGAGTCTTGAGATCACAAGAGACTCTAATCAAGAAGACAACTAAATAGTGACTTCCCTGAACTTCAGTAGACTTGGCCTCTTCAGGGATCTGCCTGGAAAAGTCCCATGGAGTAAGGCCCTATAGCAAAGAAGTGTTTGAGAAAGCTGATTAATATTCAAAGATCATCTCCAAGCTTAAGAGTAATCCATCCTTACAAGTCCAAAAAAAAAGTCAGAAAGCACTAAGTGAATGAATTAAGCTCATGGCAAGACCCAGTAATAAAAAGGAAGTATACAGAAGGTGGAACCAGAGACAGGTAACCTGGGAGGAATACAGAAACATTGTCCAAGCATGCAGAGACACAGTTAGGACAGCCAAAGCCTAACTGAAGTTGGACCTCATGAGGGATGCCAAAGGAAACTAGAAGGGCTTCTCTAAGTACATAAGTGACAAATGGAAGACAGAAGAAAATGTGGGCCCACTGTTCAATAAGACAAGTACCTGTTTACAAATAAGACAAGTACCTGTTTACACAGGACATTAAAATGCTGCCCTTGCTAGCAAGATTAGCCTTCAGATCCCAAGCCGCAGAGACCAAGGGTAAATCAGGAGCAAGGAAGTTGTACCCTTGATGGAAGAAGCTCAGGTCCAGGAATAAATAAGCAAACTGGATATAGAGAAGTCTGTCAGGCCTAGTGGGATGCACCTACAAGTGATAAAGGAGCTGGCTAACGTAATTGCGGGCCACCCTTGATAACCTCTGAAAAATCACGTCAACTGGGAGAGGTGCCCAAGAGTGGAGGAAAGTAAATGTCGCTCTTCAGAAAATGCAGGAATCAGGACCCAGGGAAGTACATGACAGTCAGCCTCACCTTGATTCCTGGGAAGGTGATGATGCAAATAATTCTGGAACTATTCCCAGGCATGTGACAGACCAGAAGGTCATTAGGAGTAGTCAGCATGGATTCACAAAAGGGAAAGCATGCTTGACCAACACAATAACCTTCTACAATGAAATCTACAGCCTGGTAGGTGATAGGGGAGCAATGGATACTGTGCACCTTGACTTCAGTACATCTTTTGACAATGTCTTCCATAGTATCTTCATAGACAAGCTGAGGAAGTACGGGTTGGATGAGCAGATGGTGCACTGAAGACTGGTTGAACAGTCAGGTGATCAGTGGCACGAAGGTCAGCTGGAGTCCAGTGATTAGCAGTGTACACCAGGAATCAATACTGTGTCCAATCCTGTTCTACATCTTCGCTTGTCACGAATGATGGGGCAGAATGCAAGTTTGCTGATGACACAAAACTGGAGAAGTGGTTGATACACTACAGGGTCGCGCTGCCACTCAGAGGGCTCTCCACAGGCTGGAGAAATGGGCTGACAGGGACCTCATGCAGCTCAACAAGGGGAAGTGTAAAGTTCTGCCCTCGGGGAGGAACAACCCCAGGCACCAGGACATGTCAGAAGCTGACTGTCTGGGAAAGCAGTTTTGCAGAAAAGGACACCAAATCGAAAATGATCTAGCAGTGTGGCAAAAAAGGTTAATGGTATTCTGGAGTGCATTAAGAGTGTTGCCAGCAGGCTGAAGGAGATGATCCTTCCCCTCTTACTCAGCACTGATAAAGCTATACCCATGTCCACTTGTGGGCCCCTCAGTACAAGAGGGATGTGAAGCTACTGGAGAGAGTTCAATAAAGGACCACTAAAATCATTAAGGAACTGGAGCAACTCACATATTAGGAAAGGCTGAGAGAGCTGGGACTGTTTAGCCTAGAGAAGAAAAGCTTAGAGAGCCACATCTTATCAATGTGTACAAAAATCTGAAGGGAGGTTGTAAACAAGATGGAGCCCAGTGATGGGACAAGAGGCAATGGTCACAAACTGAAACACAGGAGGCTCTCTGAACTTTTTACCTTTGAGGGTGACCAAGCACTGGCAAAGGTTGCCCAGAAAGGCTGCAGTCTCCATCCTTGGAGATATTCAAAAATGCCTGGACATGGTCCAGGGCAATCAGCTCTAAGACGCAAACGGCTCTGCTTGAGCAGGTGGGTAGACAAGATGATCTCAAGATTCCTTCCAACCTCAGCTATTCTGTGAGTCCCAGTTTAGCTGTCTACACTTCAAACCATCCTTACTATACCAAAACTTCACTCCTACTAATTAAAATTATGTGACTTGTGACACAGAATCTTTTTCTACAAAATTAGTGCTATACTGGACATTTTTACAAAATTGTGTATTTCCTTTACATTTACCCTTAAAATCCATCAGTTTATTACTTTCAGTAATCCTGAAACTAATAATAAGTGAATAAGTGTATGTTTTGGATATACGCCAAAAATATCTGAATTGCTCAAATTTACAGACAGTAGTCTGAAATGGTTCTGTTCTAATGCCATTCGAGCATTAAACTGCCACTACAATGTACTCTGAAAAGTCTAAGCGACCCTATTACCACCCATAGCAGTTGCAGCTACAGGGATGGAAAAACAGAATTGTCTGAAACAACTTTACACAACTGAAACATCAAGAAAGGTTCAAATCTACTGCAGTCAGTTATCAGTGTAGATCACTATGTCAAGTGCCACCAGAGCTTCAAGTGAGAATGTAAAATGGAATCTTTTATAGCCGGTTATTGCCACAGACTTCCAATGATCTTCTCTTACATATCAAATTTCACAGTGCTTCAGCTTTTTACACAAGTCACTTACTTACAATTTCTCAATTAGCTGCTTCTCATCCAGTGCACCTGGGAGGTCTCTTTTATTTCCAAGAACTAACACCTGAAAGAAATAATTCATATGCATATTAAATCCACAAGCGATAAAAGTTTATTTTTGTTTTTAACCATTGGTTGGTTATTCTACCAATATGAAGAACTATTCTGGTTCTTGCAGCGAAGTATTTAGAATGCAATAGAGGACATATTCAAAATGACCAATGACTATGGCAGCATCATGGAAATCCCACTCTTAGGGCCAGATGCTAAATGCACAACCTCTGAAAACTGGATCCAATTATTTCTGGGTGTATTACTGTCAGACGTCTCCTTTGGAAGTGAATCCCTCCATTCTGGATTGCATTGTAGGATGGTAACAGATTCCATGCAACTAAACGTGGAAGAGAGCATGCACCAGGTGCACTTAAGCACCAATGGACAATCATTTCACAGGACCAGATTAATGCGAATCAAAAGCAGGTCCCCAGCAGCAGAGGCTAGATCCTAAAGACCCACACATGATTCTCTTCACAGTTTTGCTTCCCTGCTTTTTAACACTGAAATACTAAACAGCCTGGCATCCGAACCACATATCACACAAGCACCAGCCAAATGACCAATCCTTCTCCCTCCACTTTGAGCATCCATGGTAGAAATCTGAAAGGAAGCCATTAGGAAAGAAGTTGGAGAAACACAGATAATTTACTGAATAGATGCTGGAACTTCAGAGTTCCTATGTAATACTTAAGGCTTCAAGTATAAATGAAGATTAGATAAATGGGTTCAGCACATTCTATGATAAAGTAAGCAACTGAAGGTTTTTCTAATTATGATTGCATTAATGTTTTCCAGATGTGCTACAATTTTCTAGGTCAAGATTGTCCCGTTATTTCCCATGAACCTAGAATATATTAAACTCATTACCTGCAGTCTCAAATTAATAAAGTGACTTCAAAATCTATAATGCCAAAGCCTGAGTACAATAAATTGAAGGAAGTTCAATACTAGTTACTACCTATGAAATAAAGGTAAGTAAAAAATACATCACTGCACCTTGGAAATTACCATGCTGGTCAGGCTGGGCATGTGGAATGTGGTATTATAACATATAAAAGGCAAGGAACTTAATTAAATACTTCTGAAGATACGAGAGACCTATCATTTCTGGAAGGAAAAGTGAGAAGTAAAACAGCATGTGAAGAGAGCACAAAGGACAGGCAATGTCACTCACTATGAACAGCATGACTATAGATTTCTGTAGGATTTGTTCAATAGGTAATTACTATATAAAATCACAACAATAATAGCAAACCTTATAAAAAAAGATAGTCACTTGAAAAATTCTCCTTTGAGAATGGATGTGTGAGATCTTGATTCTCAGAATGTTTTTATGTTGGCAGGCTGTCTATTCATCCTCAGATGACTTCAATTACTTCCAGTGGCCAAGCGTCCAAATAATTGCTTACAAAACAGGGGCCAAGAAAGAGCCACCAAGTTGTGAGCAACTTCTTCCTCATTTGTATGTACTACTGTTTTCTTTTTTACAATCACAGGTATGAGCTCTTGCTTGGTGATGTCAACATAAAGACCAATATTAATTAGATGGATTTCTAAACTGGCAGACTACATTTAATTAAACATTAGTCTCCACCTCCATAATTCCTCATTAGAACTTCAGCTGAATACACTATTCTTTGATGCTTCCTACTGAAGAAAAGATGCATATTTGCATTTTTTTCCCACACAATTTAGTTTGAAAAACTTAGTCAAGAAAAAGTCAGGACACATAAAAAGCCAAGCTCCTACACAATCTCTGGAAACACAGGACACTACCTGATGTTAGTGTCTGCCAACCTGCAGAAAGACAAATCTCACATGCCTTAAGAAACATGCCTCAGGAACATATCTGGGTCACTGGTTCAAACCCAGCCAACAAGGGGACTGACTCAAAGTAATTACTGTCTGATAATACTACACACAAAACCAGATTTTTTCCAAATCTATTCTGACCTTTAGACAAGAAAACATACAAACACACAATAATTTTTCTAATAGTGCTCAATGTATCAAGGCTGCATCATATTTAACTTAATATTTTCAAGAGTCCAGAGGAACTAATTCATGAGAACTTACTGTCTACATTCCAGTAAGAATAATAATCAAAATACTTACTGGAATTCCATGCAATTGTGGCTTATCTATCAAACTGTGTAGCTCATTCTTTGAAGCTTCTACTTTTTCTAAGTCTGCTGCATCCACCATGTAACTGCAACGAGAATGTAGTTATTCGTAGCATTGCCCACTACTTGCAGAAAGTTGCACTAAAACATCTGAAATGTGACAAATGTGTTCATATTGACAACAGCATTAGAAAAGTCCTGAGTTGTATAAACCCCGCATTTATTGATACAGGAAAAAACAGAATTAAATACAGCCTGTGGGGAAAAAATGGCCTGGAATATGCAATTACTCATATGTCTGGGCTGCTGGATGTGTAAAACACACTGCTTTCATTGTATTGGGTCTTCTTATGTAATGGAGGTGGACAGAAAGAAAACCTTACCTATATTATTTTTATATATAATATATAATACTATAATAATATATATTGCAGAGTACATTTTCTGTAGGCATACAAAAGAAAACTTACACAACTGCATTGACTCCTCTGCAATAACGCTCCCACATGCTTCGAAACCTTGGCTGTCCTCCAATGTCCCATACCTGGAAAAGATAAGAACACCACAGCCCCAAAACATTTTAAACTACAAAGTAGTTACACAACAGATTAAATGAACTCTTACATGCAGCATGCAGGTTGTATTGCCAATGCCAAAATTTTTTAAGCAACTTTCCTCAAGAAACTGGTCTTCTCATCTCCTTCCAGTTAATGGAAAGGGACAGGTACATTCACAGAGCAAGTCAGTCCTGTGACATCAAAAGCTCCAAATATCCATTTGAAGAATCTTACCCTTTCCAACTCACTTTTTAATGCGGCTACAGAGACCTGAGTTAAGAATATATCAGACCTTCAGCAGGCTAAAAACAGATATTAAATAAAGAGTTGGTTGGAGAGCAGATTGAGTCCACATAAGGGATGATATACTCTAGGGAGCACCCATACCTTCACAGCTCTCCCATTTGTTCATCAAATATGCTTTAAAAGACAAATGGATTAACTGATCAGAATCAGAAAGGAAACAGTAGTATAGGGTAGGCCTCAAGTGATTAAGCAGTGTGACCCTTAAGGAAAAAAAGCTCAAATTCTGCTTGGGATTTTATAAAGCTTCAATCCTGCAAATACTTATTCATGCTATTAGTGTCCAGCAATCCCACAAAATTCCTTATTGTTAAAAGGCTAACACATTATTTTTCTGTACAGAAGTTATTTATTCTGTCTCGTTTGCAAAAAATTCAGTATTTTTGGTGGATGACCATAATCTGGTTTCAAAACTGTTTTCCAGATCAAAATACCAGGGAATATATCTAAATCATGCAGGCAAGGGCTGCATGACAATGTAGCTATTGCAGCTACATCCAAAGACAGTTGTGTTACAAGTGACACACCTATTAAAATAGTGATGAACACTGAAAAATAAGTCATGGATTTGTTCCTCTGTCAAGGACAATCAGAAGTAATTATTTCTTATTTCAACCAGATTTAGATATCAAAACAATAGGTACCATATACCAGATCTAGGAGGCATATACATTACAGAAGAAACTGAATTTGGAAATAATATACAGAGAAGCAAAATTTTAGGACTTGTCTTCACGTTTACACTATAAATCCAAATGTAATAAACCTGCTGCGGCAACAAAGACTTGCACAAAAGAGTTAGACTTAACAGACCCTTGGGATAAGGCCTTTTGCAATTAATGTCCAGTATTTTTTTAATTTCACGGCTCATAAATGGTGTTTATGTATCAATTTCTGTATAATTTTCAATATCTTATGTTCATACTTTAGAAAGAAATATTTCCCAATTCACCATTAAAATCAATCCCTGATTGATATCTTACTGTTCCTTCTGACATAAAATTAGTATTTCACCTACATGTAGATTGCCTTTAATCCCCTGTGTAAGATCAAGAATTTTACATACGAGAGAGTTGAGGGAACTTCTGACCATGAAGTGGGTATCAATTATTATCTGCACTGACATTTGACGCATAGTTTCAAAAGTCTTAATAAAATTAACCCTTATATTATAAAAGCTTGAACGTGATGAGTACACAGTTCAGCATTATGGTTAGATGACAAACCTTATACCAACACTAATTATTCCAATAACTCATCAGGACCTTGAAACTATCTGTAGCCATCTGGTGCACATCTGTGTGTCTGGAAAAAGAAACTAAATTATTTTCTTGGTAGATCAGAGAAAAAAGAAAGGGAAAGAGGACAGGGCAGGTCAGTAGTCAGATTAGATTTTTGCAACACTGGTAGCCATGAAAATCTACAAGATTATATAGCCTGGACTCTTCAGAAAATAAATAATACAAGGTAAAAAAATATTAGTTTTGTCCTTGTTTGATGATATACTGTATCTTACTGTATTAAACTGCATTACAGAACAAGATTACTCTCATTAGGAGAAAAAGTCACCTTGAAACAATGGAAAGATGAGTAATTTCCAGTCAGTTTCTCTAATCAGGCTTACAGCTATTCATTAAAATACAACATGAAGGACACAAGACAGACTAGGTGTTTTACATAGTGCTGGGAACTCAGTTTATGTCAATATATTAATCTATAATTATCTGAAATAGAGTAAGAAAATAAATGCATAAAATGAAAAAAAATCTTCACCTTTCTGCCTATGAAACCGAAATGGTCCTAGTAGTAACTTTCTAATACTCTTTATTATACTGAATAGCCAGTGAGAGAGTTAACTACTTATTAGAAACACAAATTGCTGCCCCAAAGCACTTTCACAGTACATGACTGAACAGACAGCACTGTGAGAATACAAGAGGCACCCAGAAAGGAAAGAGGAGAGGTCGCAGCATTCAACAAGTTTTCTTGCAGAGCCTTGTGTGTTTTCCATATCAACTATTTTTGTATCCCAATATTTAATACACAGGTAAAAAGTATATTCTGGGTGTGAACAGGGAGAGGCAGGAGACTACACTTTAACAGCTGAACATACAGCTAGTTTTAAAAAGAAATTTGTTTTGTCTGGGTGTTTTTAAAAAGAGACTGGACTCCAAATTTCTCCCATGGTTTTCACTGGTCTCTCAGGAATAAAAGTTTCAAAATATTTAAGAGGTAATTTTATCCTTAGAAGACCAGTTGATTTTAAGAATCATAAAAGGCCTACAGAATGACCAAATCAGAAAAACGTGTCTTTGACAGCTGGTACCGTTTCCTCACAGGATCAAAATCTCAAGGAGTTGTTCCGGCTCAATCTCAAAGATACATATCTTGTTGGTACTGCATTTTATAAATCACTATTTTATTTGTTCCTCTCTACTCCTATAGCATAGTAATTCTTATTGTGCTTGCAGGTCTACACTCTCATTAAAAAGTGCAATGTTTTAATCTGTAAACTAGATCACCATCACGGAATCATTGTTGACCATAGTATTTATTAACTAGCTATGTTTAAGGAGCAGATCCTTTTCTTTTGCACAGAGTTTTATCATGACAGTTGAGCAGAAATGCAGCTGAGGAACAGGTTTGAAGATTTTTGAAAGTTCTCAGTTACAGGAAGGCTCATTAACACTCTAGCTGTGTTTCTTTTAATTAGCTTATATTGTGGGAAGGCTTGACGGTTCATGAGAAAGTTGCAGGAAAAGTATTTTCTAGATGTCAGTTTACATGGCTATTTTCAGACATGCTGGGTAGGATATTTCTTGTGGACAGGGACGTGTACAATGACACATTTGAATTTTGATGTCAATGCGTGGGTTCAGTACCTACAATCTCACAGTAGTCAGCAAAGTCTAGACAGCCATTCAGCTGATCAGATGTAACATCTTCAGGATGACAGAATTATGCTCTAGGCTTGACAGTACTCACTACAGCTCCTCTGACTATCATTAAAGGAGCTTAAACCTCATTGCAGATATATAACTGTTTACATTCAGACATCTTAACTTGCAAGATGAATCCAACACTACAAATACTTGAACTCATAAATGTATCTTTCTTCTTGGAAGTATTCAGAAAGTATCAGCCACAAAAACAAACCTGAACAAACAAGTAAGGAAATCGTAAACACAGAAGAGTATTTAGGTAGAATAAGGTGGCACCAGTAACATCCAACACCACCATGTTGTACACACACAAGGCTCCAGGTGCTAAGATGTGACCAACGAGCTCAAGCACACACAGCAGTCATTGCATTGATAGCCAACTCAATGTGTAATAACAGGGACTTAAAACACCTAAAGTGTAGGCATCTAATCCAAGTGACCAAAATTCCTCTGTGTCTACTGAAGAGCTCAGAGGGCACCAAGAGCAGGAAATTATCTGTCTCACCCACCCTGCCTACCAGGTGAACCATTCCTGCAAAGCACAGGCTGCTCTCCACTGAGTTCAGACAACTGGCTCAGGCTGGCTTACTTATCACCTGGCTAAGCTCAGTGGAGACAAATCCTAAATAGTCACCTATTCTAGATGGAATCTTCAACTAACAATGATCATCTTCTTCATCTAATAAACAGAAAAATAAAAAACCTAAAAATTTTTTAATAAATTGCCCAATGTATACAAAACTACAGAACCTTACTTGTAGTACCAGCCATGTAATTTATTAGGGAAGTTAGAATACCTTACTGCTTTAGAATACTTACTACCTATTATCCTATATTTTGGAAATGCCTTTACATTTACATCTCTTAAAGCTGACAAAAGTATGCTACATGGATACATTTTCTGCAGGAAATGCTTTCCAGAACACTATGGTCTTTGAATTCAGTCTTGGCCCTTTAAAGAACCCTATTGTCACTCCTCACTGGCAGTAAAGTCCAACTTTTAAACATACCAATGGGTATTTTATTTTAGTCACATCAGACAAAAAAAAGATCTATATGCACACTTCAATGTTTATCATTATTTAATTTAATCATCATACTTTCACTGAAGAACTGGAAATAGACTTGCAACACAAAATGGCTGAGTATCTTCAACTCCTGACAACAAGCACAGAGGCATTTTAACAGGAGACAGTATTTCTCAATCATCTGCCATTTTATCACAGACACAAGGTAAAACGTTGGAAGGATCAACAGGCGGATTTTAAACAGGACACAAAAGTAAAGTCTGTTCTTAGAAACTGTTTTCTGAACCTCGTGGTGCTTACCTCCACTCTGGGTTCTCAGGCAGGAGAGTACCAGGGAACTCAGCTTTAAAGATAAGACTGCAAACCTCTTGATCAAGACATAACACACACAAGGAGCCAAACCATCCCACCCTCAATATTGTGTCCTCCGCATAGCAGAAAGCCTTGATTCTGCATGACCACATGCCACCCTCTGTACCCCCTTTTCACATGATCTTGAATCAGTCTCTAGACATCATAGTCCAAAAGGTTCTGACGAAAGCAGGCATACAGAAGTTCTAAGTTGTAGGCAGAACTTGCACTTAGAAGACTGAGAGCAAGGAGACCAGAGGCAAGGACATAGGTAGCTCAAAACAGCTAATCAATAACTACTGCAGTGATTATTATTTTTGCTTGTCTTTGAAGAACATATATAATCATGAAAGCAAAAATTAG